GTTGAGAAACGTCAAAAACTCCACAGACGCCAAGAATTGTCTCAGACAAGGGGGCGTCCAATACTGGCCCTCGAGGGCCACCGTCCTGCACGTTTTAGAGGCTTCTCTGCACCAACACACCTGATCTGAACCAGTGATGAACTGCAGAACACCAAGAGGTAATTCATGCTTTGGATGTTTCTCTGCCCCAGAAAGACACAGTGTGTCGCTGAAAATGCATGAAAATAAACAAATCACCGTTTTTGGGAATGATCCATACGAGGTGGACAGAACCCACATTGTTCATCCATCCATCATCTTTACCAGCTTCTTCCTTTTCGGGTCGTGGGGGTCACTGGTGCCTATATCCAGCAGTCATTGTGCGAGAGGTGGAGGACACCTGGACATGTCTCCAGTCCATCACAGGGACACATAGAGACAAACGAGACAAATAACCAACCTAGGGACAATTTAGAGTTACCAGTCAGCCTAACATGCATGTTTTTGGTCTGTGGGAGGAAACCGGAGTATTCGGAGAAAACCCACGCATGCACGGAGAGAGCATGCAAACTCCACCAGCGTTATTCAACTGGCGGCCCGCGGGCAACTTCCGGCCTGTGGGTGACGTCAGTCTGTCCCAACAATGAGTTCATAAAAACATTTTATTTTTAGGTTCTGGGTTTTGGTTCTGTTTATTGCATTTATAATTCAATGCAACAAACAAATTAAAAAAGGTAACAGATCATTGTAATACGTGCTTTATTTACACAATGACGTTAATCGCTTGACGTCCGGCCCCTGAGGTGCTGGCTTTCAGAAACTGTGGACCCCTGAGAAGTTCTGTTGGTTAGTTTATCCTACTGGGATGGAGGAGAGGTGCCTGGATGTAGGACATGTGATGTCAGTTGGGAATTATGCATCCTTTGTTATCCTGACGCAGCTTCAGGTGACACAGAGCCAACGTGCCGCCCCTCGCTTCCCTCGGATCAGAGCCGGGTGTCTGTGGAGGACACGGTGTTTCAACCAGCCTGACCTGAAGCTCCACAAAAGGCCCAGGCAGATCCCAGTGAGCCCACCTGTTGGCGGACCACACAGTAGACTCAAAGGTCCGCTGATAGCCGGGGGGTGGGGGGTGTTTGGATTAAAGCTCATCTATCTGTGTCTGGGCCGGCCCCTAAGGGTGGCAGGGGTCATCAGGAAGGGAAGGTGGAGGAGGCTTTGAGGGTCGAAGGGTGAACATCCGGCAACTGGGAGGTTAACCATGGCGCAGGGGATGGGATCTTTCAGGATGGGTAGGGGGTGAGGGGTTAGAACTTCCACCCATTGACTGGCTGAC